TATACTAGCCCGCACAATACATGACATTGAGTTTGAGTAAAGAGAAGCACATCGACATAACAATAGTAATTTATACATGACATTGTCGAGTTGTGAGTTTTTTGTGTGAGATTTGTTTTCAATATAATGACGTTTTATTTGCTTTTCGATGTTAGCTTTTGAAATGTTTGTTATAGCTAAGTAACTCATAGGGAGAGATTGTTTGTTTTGTCTGTTTGGTTAAAGAGAAGCACACCGACACAATGACGGCCATTTAGTGCAGAGAAAAAGCAAGACAGAGAGAATGTGACAACATAATATGGAAAGAAAAGAAGTAGGATCTACCCAGTTTCATCCTCCAACACCAACAGGGGGAGATTAGGATGTCGTTGTGTATTCAGCCAATTGCTTGATTGATTATTAACATTTTTACGTTTCTATAACAGCAATATCTAGGTCGTTTAGGAAGCTGCTGCTTTGACATTGTCTACCAAGGCCAACCCAGGCTGTGTGGTATACAGCTTCACAGCAGACAAAGAGAGACATTCAGTAAAATACATTTCCCCATAAAGGAATCGAACTCAAGTCATTTGAATTGTCTGCAACGGCAAACAGCAAAACAAGCTCGCCACAGAGTATGACTCAGTATAAAGATATTTCAATCCCGGCGTTTTGGTGTTCTAATTCTTTGTCACCACCTCTGCTTTGACCCGAAACCGTATCTTGATCTAGTAGCATTTCCAACATGGAGGGGGTGAAGGTTTTGCATTTTCGTGCTGCCGCAGTATAATTTTACATCGAACTTTACGAGAGTCGGAAAGGATGGGCAAGGGCTATGAAGGGGTCGGTGTCGCTGGAGTGAAAACAGCCACAAAATTGTGAATGGAGAGAATAAATCTGAGAGATGGAAGGAGGAGACAGACGCACCGACGTTGATGGGCGGGATTATGGCAGGGATTGGGGTTTTTCCTTTGTGGTGTGCCTGGGATTTTCTTTGTGCATGGTCTAGTCTAGGCCTTTTCCTGTTTTATGACGGCGAGCGCTTCCCTCTGAGTTTAAAGGAATGGTTTTGTTTGAGTACAGAGAAACACACACACAGACACAATAGTGGTCAATTGGTGCTAACAAAGAGAACGTCTGATTTGTTTGTTTGTTTGTTTGTTTGAGTAAAGAGAAACACACACACAGGCGCAATAGTGGTCAATTGGTGCAAACAGATATATCTTCCAATTAGTTTTTGTTTGTTTGTTTGTTTGTTTGTTTGATTGTTTGTTTGAGTAAAGAGAAGCACATCGACACATTAATATTTCATTAGGGCTAGGAAAAACTAAGACTGAAAAACAGAAATAACAGAGGGAAGGTTAAGAAGAAGGACCTACCAGTGGTGGCCTCCGACCACCCGCGAAAGTGTCAGAAAGACTTAAAAAACCCAGTGAGAGTGAAGTAGGACATACTAGCAGCGCCCCCACCCACCCTCCCCCTCCACACACACAAATCGCCCGCTGAATTGTTTGTTTAT